CTAACCCTACCTGCAAACTCCATTATGGAGTGTGCATATTAATCACAAAAAAATCTACATTAAAAAGGCACAGCTTAAATACTGCTGACTCGGGCATATTCAAATTTTAAATAAATCTGACAGAAATTGTTCAAAAGTTAAATATATAAAATATACATGACTACCATTGGTAGTCTTATACTGTGTTATTTCCTGTTTCAAAATAAAGTAACAAACAATAATGTTCAGTTAAATGTGGTTAAAGTAAGCAATTATAAGATTCTAAAGTCCAACAGTTACTGTGGGTTTTTTGTTTGTTTTTGTTTTTGGTTTTTTTTTGGTGTCGTTTTTTTTCTCTCAAAACTTTATCAAAATGTAAAATGCCTTGAAATATTATTATGATTTGGTGTTCTTTGGTATTCTAAAATTCTAAAGGTAATACTGTTAGTTGCAACCCTACATAAGTGTTTGTTATGTTTTTCTATCCAAAGTTAACAATAATCTGCAACCAACCCAACAACTCTGAAAAGAATTATCATTACTCAGCGAAACTCATTTACATTAAATTCAGTTTCTCATTTTGGTTAACTGCATGTGCAGAAACTGAAAAACACTTCATTTGAACTTGTGAAACACATGATTAGATAGAGTGAAAGTTCTTCAACTCAGCATTGTTTAAACATTCACATTAAGTTTACATGGTTTCCTTGTCCTTATCGATTCCACTTATTTTTGTTGCAGGATAGTATGTTCTAAGTCCTACTTTACTATAGCCACAGTTTTGTCTTAAAGTGACATTATGCTCATAATTTAATAATCAAGTTGAGCCTAATTGACTATTTAAGTATATATTTCAAAACATTAACTGTTATAACAGTAATTGACAAACAGCTGATATTAAAATATAAATCTGCCTAAAATATAAAAAGACTGACATCCGACTTTTTAAAAATTGAACTTTATAGGTACATTCTGATTGATTTTTATAGAAATTACTTTGGGCAATGAGAATTATTTATGGTTCATGCAAAGTAATTTATAAAATTTAAAGGAATTATGACAAAACTTAAACTTATTTTGACTTTCCCCTGTTCACTCAGTATATAGCTTTGGATGGGCATAATGTCACTTTAATCAAGGGCTACAACTCTGTTCTACCACAGTAGATCAAGTTCATATCTAAAACAAAAGCACCAAATGTTGAACTTAAAAAAAAATAAATATGATCATTTACTTTATACAGCATCATCTTCACCACTCAAACCGACAATTATCAAATGAGGATTTATCCTTGATCTGCAGTGACATTTTTGTGATTTTCCCAGACATTTTACAGTGTTTTCATTTTCTCCTCATTACATGATAACTAAGTTATTATAAAGAAAACATTTTTTTCCAATTCAAGTGAGGTAGAAACATCATATTTTTTTATCAACAACATGATGATTTATGTAAAACACATAAAGAGTGTTGAGAAAAAATACCATATTCAGTAGCAATTATTATGGAAATCCAAGAAGATTTTTCGCATTTTTTTTTTTAAACTGAATTCACAGATGTAATAACCTATAAAGAACTAAAAAAATCATAGTAAATGACAAAAGAAAGCACTGTCAGTCTAAAATGAAATACACGGAAATACTTTGATTAATTTTGTATGCTAATTTGCCTGGAGATACTGATTTTTTACAGACATGTTTGTTTGTTTGTTTTTTATACGCCTTTTCCCAACAGTATTTCAGTCATATAGGCGGGTTACAGTTTCCTGACCATCGTTCCTGGAAAGTTAACCATTACTAGACTACCTTCCTCCGTGCTAAACTACCAAAGCATCTCCCGGGGATCGAACCCAAGCCAGAGAGGTAACTGGATTAGAAGTCATCGACTCTAACTCCTTGACCAGGGAGGCCTATAAGCCATTCCCCTGTGCCTCTGGTTGGCCCTGGGTTGTAGCCAATTTTAACCCATGAGTTATATTTTGAACAGATTTGGTATAGTTACATTAGTAGATGCAACATAACAAATATGTAAGCTCGGGACATTGTTTTTTTTTGTGTCTTTTTTTCCATAGACGAAGAAAGAGACAGTAATAAGGTTAAAAAACCCTTAAACATTTTAATAATAAACACATACATGTATAATAAGCATTGACAAGAACAGGATGTAAAAATAAGTTTTCAAGCATACAGGATAATCAATAGCCATTTACTAAATAGTCATGTAGATATACATGTAGATATATCACATACAGAAATGATTCAGCAGTGTGATATCATTAAGTGTGTTTAAATTGTACAGGAATACTTCAGTTTTCAAACACTTCCATACAGGAAGTGAAGCCAATGTGAATTATTTTCCCCCTGTGTTTTAAATCAGTTGACAGATATACTTGTAGTTTAAAGTATAGTTGCCAAAAATAAAACCCCGTTATTTCCCTTCGGTTTCTGTGAATGATAGACCATGCTTCCATAATAATATTTAATTTAATAATAAAAAGTGATTCCTTTCACATATGTATTCAATGCTCCTAGGTAAAACATATTAATGCTAGACCTTTTTTAAGATTTGCATGGCCGCTTCTATCAGAGGTATATTTATTAGACACACTATCAATTTCGCAAAAGATATCGAAACAGGAAGAAGTAAAATATATACCGAGCTGTAATCAATGTTAAATTTTCTGTAACTATGATGGATTTATACACCCGGCACTCAGATCACAAGTGTGCCACATAAACTGGGTTAAAATGTTTAATAATTGAAAAGGGTGATTTTTAGCAAGGTGGTTAGGGGCCGGAGGCACAGGGTCCAGAGTTTTCATTTTTATCTGAGGCAATGAACAGATGTGCCAATGAAAACAACAAATTTGGCCAAGTGTCAAGGGAGGTGTTTTAATCCACAAACTGAAAATACATCAAATTTTAACAGCAATTTAACCATTGATATGGATTGCCAATCTCTTAATTATAACTGAAGACCCTGAGGGTCTGATCTCTAAGTGTCTGTGCATCAATACTGATATAATAACATAGTCATCATAAAAAAACGAAATACAGTTTTAAGCTTGTGGAAAAAATCTTTAAAAACACACATACATATTCATTTAGATTATTTGAGAAGTAATTTAATTTTTAACAGAAACATACATGTACCCAACATACCGTAAAATTCCTTTTAAACACCCCCTGGAGACATAACATTTTCCAGGCGGGATAATATGTTTGGTGAGTTTAAAAGTTTATATTATACATTTTTGTGTCTATTATAAAATAAAACAGATTCTAAAAGATTTAAATAAAATCATGAATGTACTCTTGAGCACTGGTGAATAGATTTTTTTCCTTACCATAAAAACTTTGGGGAGATGGCTTTTATTAGGGGGAGGGATATTTAATAGGAATTTTACAGTAAGACTAATTAAGGTTTAGACTGCTCACTTATCAATCAATTTTTAATATGTTTCATTTGAAAGGTAAACCAAGTTCAATATAAGATGTGCACCCAGCTGATCAACTTGTCTATATATGACAAACCAGGCTAGTTACACATGTATAAAATATGTCACCTGAAGGCAATATTTAAATATTTCAACATGATTCAATATAACTGCTATAAATTACTAAATAAAATAATCATTAGTTTCAGTATAGTTTATTTAAACTTTTAAGGGGCTTGGTTTGTAGCATTGTTCATTCACCATGAATTTAACTTACAATTTCTATATCATGCTCAGTTTTTTTTTTCCAATATACTTAAATCAAAGTGCTGGCTCTTTTTTCTTATAATATCCCTCAACAGTCTTCTTTACAATTATATTATATGAAAGTATATAAAAATAATTTTCAAAAAATCTTAAGGAGAGATGAAACTGATTAATCTATTTCTATTAATTTACTTTTTTAAGTGTGGCTGTGGGGAGATGAGGGACTAACTTTCAACTTGTTTGAAACAGAAGTCAGTTACAAGCCCCTTTTGGCACACCCTTGCATAAGATGATGAAACTGCCATCACTTAGATGAAGTGATAAAAACCATTATGTCCATTTTAACCTCTAGAAAGTAACACTTCAAGCACAATGAAATTGTTAAGGAGAACTGCTTAACAATAATGAAACTTTCAGACACTTGTCAAATATACATCAAATAGGCAAATGAGTCACCAAATAACATCAATATATACATATTTCTATTAGTATACTATTTCAATATAAAGTCAATATAAAGTCAAATATTCAATTTCAAAACAAACTTGTTTTATTATGACCAGCTCAATGATAAAACCCCACTCCATATGGAATGGCTTTAACAAGTCTGAATACAATAAACTTAATTCTTACAAATTATAAGTTAACTAAATTCATCAAAAAAATAAATATACGCCAATTTACTATATGTCTTGTTGAAGATAAAACATTATATATGAACTTTTACAGAATAATTCTTAGGATATGTGTATACAGGAAAACATGAGAAATGTCTGTAATAAAAATATACAAGAATAAGCACTTGTCTAAAATTGTCTATTGTCTAAGCAATTGTCTAAAATCAAAAGAAAAAAGATTTGAGCAGCGTCATGACAAAACCAACATAATGGGTTTGCGACCAGCATGGATCCAGACCAGGGTGCCATCTGCGCAGTCTGATCAGGATCCATGCTGTTCGCTTACAGACCCTCTAACAAGTAGAGAAACTGATAGCGAACAGCATTGGCCTGAGGCTGGTCTGGATCCATGATGGTCGCAAACCCATTATGTTGGTTTTGTCGTGACGCGGCTCATTTTCTCTCTCACCAGTAGAAATTTAATTTCCAAGTTTCCGTGTTAATTTCTTAGTAACTAAATATAGTAACAGTCTAACTCATACATTTCTATGCTTTTTTTATCACTGAAGAAATTCCAAAAAAATATATTATCAAGTACCGATAAGAAGAAAAACAAGGGATATCGGTGTATTCCCTTATTTGTTCAGTAAGTAAACTGACAAAAAAAAAAGTTCTAAATATAATTGAGCAGTATTTTTTACCTCCTTTGTTTAACAAATTTCATCACCTCGGAGGGCTCATATGGCAAATTCTCCTCATCCTTGGCATTCGGCACTTTCACATTCGGCACTTTCGGTTTTGCTGTTTTCATGATCCTTGGATTTTAACCTCAAATTTCACTCAGATTTTTAAAATTCATTCATTTTTAAATAATAACTGAAATGTTGACAAACTTTATCCTGATGAATTTTTAACAATTTTTCAACCATACTCGAAACTTATTTTCATTTAAAACTTTTGTTGTTGTTGTTTCTTTTTAAATAAATTGTCTATATGAAAACTTAAATTAATAAATTGTAGGTTTTTTTTAAATGAAATACATCATATGTCAGCTGTTAATTTTAAAAGTTCAGAAAGTTAAACTTCCATCTTGAATAAAAAATCTTCCTATATCATTTATTAAAATCAACAGAATGATAAAGTATCAAAATCCTTAATATCAAACAGATCTTTATTTCCTTAGTGCAATTAAATGAATCTTGACTCTTCAAAATTCAAACTTAAACTATATGCCTTGATTAAAAACACAAGTTTATCTTTTCTTGTACCCGATAAGGGAAATAAAATCTTCTCACTGGTAAGAGACCTATAATAGTATGTTAAAAATGCCCCTATACGTTTACTTAAATGTATGCAAATTGATAAAATCCAGGAAGTAAAATGTGTATACAATAATTATAGAGTAGCTCTGATCAATTTTTTGATAAACTGCCATACATAACCTGTCAAATAATGTCGAAAACCTTAATAAGGTTAACATTACGTTTCATATAAAGAGAATTTTATTAAACGCAGAAATTTATTACTCACCTACTGAACATCATCTATATAAGGCAGTTTCTCATGCATAAAATGAAATTCAATTTCCTAACAGTGCATCTTAGATCTTTCTTTAAACATTTGATATTTCATTTAATATATCAACAAATACCCTAAAAAAACTACAGAATTAAATAGTTTTAGATTTTTTAAGAGAATAAAAATGCATTAAACCTTAGAAACACTGTCACACAGATATAACAGTATTAATTTTTTATCTGTTGATTAAAACGGATTTCAACCATCTCTTTTGTAAGGTTAAACATTAAATTAAAATTTCTAAAATGAACGTTTCTTGATCTGAATTTGAAACAGTACATTGTACATAAATAAATCTTAAGATACGCTGAAGGTATGCTATTAACATATAAGTACAAAAAATAAGTACACTGAAATCAAACTAAATGAAACAGATATGAAAATTGTATGTTTGCCGCACAAAATTGTGCTCAAATTACAAGAAAAATATCCATTTTGAAGTAACTGAGCAATAAGTTGAAAAATGGGGAAAGAAATATCTAAAGTACAAACAACTTCTATTAACATTAAATCAACTTCTTGATTTCTCCCTCGGATAAGCTGGGGAAAACCAAAACTATTCTAAATTCCAGAATCAGTCTTATTTTCAGGCACGTAAACATAATTTTCTCCCAACAGTAACAATCTATCAATTCTCACAATTCTAAATTGTACAGTAATGTTTGCAGGTCACAAAATATAGTATATGTATATATTACCTTTTTATCTTTTACATATCTGCTTGTTTAAGTGCCCTAGCTGGTCTATGTAAATATTAAATATTTTATGTTTTTAGGCTTTTGGACCTTTGTGGAGTTCCTTTAAAGATCCTGTAACTCAATTTTTTATATCATAAATATAATGCTCAAATGAAGATTTATTGATATTTTAAGTTCCAATAAGCATTATTTGTAAGGATATTATTCATGTTAATAAAGGGAGGTAATTAAAAATTTATTTCCTATAAAGTCTAAGTCAAATTTTTCAATAAGAAATGAATGCATTTATTTTAATGATTACATATTACATATAAATTAATTTTGTAATGTAGACAAATATTTGCAGTATATATTTTACATATTCTTTGATGTTTGAAAATTATTTTAGAAGCATAATTTTATACATATATAAATTTCACTTAAGTGTGGTAACAACCTTAATTACAACATACAGAATCTTTAAAAATACATGTTGAGTGAATAAAAAGACAGTCTTATACAGCTGTAGTACTTCTAAAAATTACACATTATCAAAATGCATAGAACCATATGTACTGTACATGTACATACATGTAAACTGTGAAATATTTTTTATTAACCTTATTTTTATCTAATTCAAATTAATTGTTAAATTTCAAGTAACCACATTAACATTAAAACTTAAAGCAGGAAAAATACACTTTAGCATATTATACAAGAATTGTCTGTGGACAGCACCCTTCAAATAAAATTTTCCAGTACATGTATGTAAAAACTTAAAAGGGGGGGCATTATATATTATATAAATAACAAAAAAGAAAGCTTGGCAGACTTACCTGCCATTGATAGTGAACAAGTTAGCCATCAATATTAGTGTGATGTGAATTTTTTGATTGCAATTAGAGAAAAGGAAAATAATGCAGTAAATGCACATACAGGGAAATAATTAAGAAGAAATGACTGACACTATTATTTTCCCTTTGGAAATGTATTCCAATTTGATAGTTAATATATTATGTAAGTAAGTATGACAATTTTTTGAGAAGCAAACATAGCTTTAAATAGAAATTTGAGAAAAAGGGCATAGCTTAGTCAATATTGATGAATTTGATGTACTCCTTTGGCATGGTTTATATTGCTAGTAGAAAGGTTACAATATGTAGCAAGTTTGAACTGAATAGCTTTGAATGTTTCTGAGAATACGAACCTTAACAAAAAGATAAACTTATGCTTATAATATACCCTCAAAAGTGTCATGAAAATAGCTACAATTTTTTCTTAGAAATATTATACACACTTATGATTATCACAAAGCGTTGTGGCAAACCAGTGATTTTCCTCATCATTCATTAACAGAGAAACTTCTGCATAAAACATTTACAATGTACTTCTTTTGAATTACTGTACATTACAGTCAACTCCCCCAAGTTGAACAAGTATTAAATTTTATCAACACTAGCTAGTTACACAGGGCTCAAGATAAGATTGGTATATGTATATTTTACATATGAAAATCACTTGTTTATGCAAGCAACTGAAATTTCAAGCCTAAAGTCAAATTGCGCAATGAACAACATTTCTCAAACTAAAATTTCTGATCACCACTGTCTGAAAATTTGGTAGTGTTTGTCACAATTTCACTTTTACAGACCACACAGAAGTCAATTTGGCCAAAAAATAATTATTATATCCAGAAACAGTGACAGCGCCAATTATAGATTCAAAAATTGGTTCTTATATGGGGATGTAAAATATCATGAGCAAATCAGAGTTTCTTTGGTCTAACTGTAGGTTATAACCAATTATGAGATAAACAATTCTAACCAGGGAATATTACAGGGCTTTTTTTCACAAGTTGGGGAAACAGCCCAGCCCTTAATTTTGGGGAAAAATTACATGGTATATTTGCAAATGGGGAAGAAAAAACTTGATGTAAATTCAATATTTGGGGAAAACTGCATGATTTTAAAGAAATTTTCTTTGGGGAAGCAGCCCTATACCGGCCCCTGTAATAGAGGGTAAAAAGGCCCTGTATTATGTCAAATTGTTAGGCAAAGCTTTGGCTGTCAATGTAAATAATGATTTTAATTACTATGGCCATCAAAGATTTACCAATAGAAAAATCATATAACCAAACACAGTTAAAAAGGGATTCATTATTTCAATACATTCATCCTTCTCATCTGTAAAAACTCAGTTCTGTAACACAGTCAAAGCTAGATTACAAACTACTACATAAATCTGTCATTACTTGCGATCCATAATTTTCATATAAATGGAGCTAGTTAACATAGACCTAAATTTGGTTGATCAAGCTCCCCCCACCACAATACATTTTATTTTTGATTGGTCAATATCATATACACATGTTAGAAACTTAGATATTACGTGGGAAGTCTGAGTGGGGCAATAGGCCATGTGAGGGCTACAGCGCTCTTAGATAACATGAATGATGTGTATAATTCTAATAAGTTTGAGACAAATCCTTAGTAAACAGGGTGCCACTAATTGGAAAATCAAGGACTCAGGTTCTATATTTGAGCTATATTTAGATTAAATGACACTTTTCAAAAGATATTTAATAAGAGTGTCTTCACAATTTAGACTGTTGCCAGAAGGCTGCAGTCTTCTATCCTAAATTACACTTCTGGTAAAAGAGTGATGTAGAAATAGATAAATATAATCATCATTGATAAGACTTAAAAAATAATGATGATAAACACAAACAAGTTTAAAAATATCTTTTTTGATAAATCATAAATAACGTAATTAAAAACAACAACTCTGATTAGAGATCAACAAAAATGCTGGAAGAGATATTCAGATGCTTGAAGCACTTTGATGATAGGTTGGTCACCACTAATTCTAATCTATTTAACGATACAAAACACTTGCACAGTTTACTTAAAAATTATTTACGAATTCCAGGAAAGATCTATTTATACAAGGAAGTCAAAGTCCGGGGCCGCAAAGTGGCTCTGGGCTTTGGCTTGCCCAGCTATAGACTACACGTGTATATTTAAAAAGATAAAAAGAAAAAAATATAGAATTCTATATCTATCAGCAAAATTTTCAGTGTCATTTCTTCATGGGGGCGATAACGGCGGAGCAATCCTATAATTGACAAATCGCAACTTTTCAGCATACCAAATAACGATAAAAGCCGAGGAACTATTGGCAGCCATATTGGACGGGAACCATAATAGGACAGGAAACCAGAACAAACGGAAGCATAGACTGGTCCCCTGTGCACTTCAGATTTACTGAAGCAGTGTATAAAATACCTAATGGCACTTTTAAAACGGAAAATAAAAATACCGACTTTCATAGGCTTTGCCTAATTTCATATTATTTTGAAAACTTTATGCTTTTATGCTCATTTGTAAGACCTTTCTGTGTCAAAGAAAGCACCTAATTTTATATTAGTCACTTTGGCTCAAAAGTTGATTCATTTTGCCCAAGAATTGAATAATGCTGTCCTATATTTTTTAATATAAAATAATAAGTAAAGTAGGTGAGGAACACACGTACAACACCAGGTCAAGTTTTAAAAGTTTTTATTGGCTACTAGTTTCGAGTAATACAATACTCTTCATCAGGCTTAAAAAATATCAAATTCTAACTACTGAAGTACTAATATTTAGGGATACTTTTTTGTGTTTTGTTACTATAAATAGAAGTATTGTTACTAATAATAGATATAGTTTTGGCACTGTTCCAACGAGCTTATCATTAAGTATAACATGTATATTGTTAGAATAAAAAGAATCACAAGTTAATTATGCTTTGTTTAATACCCCATAAATCTGTCCAATGTTTATTATGAGTTCATTTGTTTCACTGAACATACCATACTCGTCTTGGCAAACAGTTTCTGTACTCGATGATGGGGAGGGTTCCTCAAAATTTGCAGTTGGTGTTGTTGGTCTGCTGTGCTTTGGAGTAGGTGGTAACGGCGAGATTGGTGTAGGAATCAAGATGTGTGTTGGTGGTAGTTCTACATTTGATTTGGATGGTCTCTTTTTGTTGAATTTTAAGGCTGGTG